CAGGAATGAAGCAACACCACCATGTCGAACTCGAGCAAGGAGAGGTTTAGCCGGTCTTGGCGGAGTGACTCTGGATTTCCAAAATCCTTTTTTAAAAATTTTATTTCTGAAGTTCTTGCAGACCTTCCATCGGCCGATTCCTACAAGTGGTGTAAATTGGCACTGTTGAATAGCCGGAGTCCAAACAAGCAGAGGTTTGCGTGGGTAAATCCACCCAGTTCACCTTCTCTGTTGTTGTTATTATTGTTATTGTTGTTTTTATCAAGTTCCAACTTTTTCAAGTCCGTTTTATTGAATTTTTAAGCGCTTGCATTTGGTGTGCATGATCTACCGCAGTACATGTCTCTTACTAACCGTTTTCGTGTGTGTGCGTGTGCGTGTAAAAAAACACATTTTTAATTGTTTCCAATTGGGGCTTTCATTGGAGAAGGCGCCATCAAGAGTCTGAGATTTGGAGACAGCCCCAAATGGCTCAGGAATTGCAAATCAAGATGGACTGTGTTGCAATCTGAATTTGAATACACACACACACACACACACACGCATCACAAAATAAATCCCTACCTCTAAGCCCACCCACCTGGACAGTTCCATACTTAAATCATCTCCAGGGCATTTTTTTTTAAAAAAAAACAAAACCCAAAGGCTTCTATTCACATCTATCTTGCCTTGAAAAAAATAGTCCAGAAAAAATTCTTCCTCCCTGTTTGTTTCTGCGAGGAATCTCGGTTTATTGGGCGTCTCGGCCCAACGCCTGACGTATCTGTTGTGTTGAAACTGGGACATTTATTGTTCATCAGCATGACCTTGGGAAGAATTTCCCTCAACCCTAGGCCAATGGAGAGAGAAAAATTGCCCCTCAAGTAGACTATTGTTGGACTTCAGATGCTCAATTAGGATAGGGCTGCAAAGGACCCTGGGGGTCCTCTAGTCCAGCCCCTTCTCCCGTAGGACACCTTATACCCTGTCAGTCCAGGCTCTTCTTAAAACTCTCCAATGATGGATGGATCACCCAAAACGTCCGGTGGCCAGCTGTTCCACTGGTGAATTGTCCTCACTGGTAAGAAGTTTCTCCTCCATTCCAGGTTGTTTCTCTCCTTGATGAGTTTCCATTCGTTGTTTCTTGTCTTGCGCTCAATAAATATTGATTTATCTTTCACTAGCTGGATCCTCGTGCTTCGCTACAAAACTATGTGGTCGGGCTTAGTTTTGGTGGAGGAAAATAAGGGGTGGGGGAAATCTGCCTATCAGCATGCCTCGGTATTCATCTGGCTAGCGTCCAGTGTGTGAGTTGAGGGCTGTTTGGAAACTGAAATAGTATTTACTGTAAGCAAGGAGACAGCAAGGAGCCTGGGCGTGGCTTAGCTCAACTGTTCTGTACTAAAACTGCTTGGTGCTGCTCTGAACGTGAAACTCCTCTCCTCTGCTTGCATTTTGCATTTGCAGCAGATTTCTTTTCAGGTGGGGAGGATGAATAGAACTGAGCATCAGAGCATCTTAATAATAATAATATTAATAATAATATAGGAAATACTAATGCTTTGATGGTCATTTCGAGAAATCCTTTCTTAGTGAGCCCCTAGAAGCCAAGAGGAACATACAGGCCCAATTTCAAGTTCGTAGGTTTGACAGTTCTGGAGATTTTGTGATGATGCGTGAGGGGCATTTCGCTTTGATAGATAGATAGATTTAATTTAATTCTCAGGGGTGGCTTTAGAAAACATCTGCTGGGTCAGTTGTTATTTTCTTCTCGGTTCAGAGAGAAGGACAGGAGGGCCATCAGCCTTCAGCCTAGTGGACGTCAGGCCAGCAATGCGCATCCACTCCGGGGGTTTGATGGGAGACGCAACTCAACATCTGGAAGGCTGCCGATCGTTAATCCTTTCCAATCCTTCTCCCCAATTCCCCACAATTCCAAGGCCCTTCCATGCTTTCGAAAACTAAAGGGGCAGCAAGTCGCATGGCCAGGAGGCAGGCAAAACAGCCTGCAAAATGATTAAAAATGAAAGAATCGCAGGTTCTCTTAGATGCTTCTGCAGGGCGGGGGTTTCCAAACATGCCGTGGTACGTTCTTAACGTGGTTTCGTGGAACTCCATGACACGATGCTTGTTTGACACATGTCAAGTCCTACTTTATAATCCCTGGCATTTCCCACCCTGTGAATGTCAGCGAGGTAGGAAATCCCCTTTCTCCGTATCCGCCGTTCCCCGAAAGCTCATCTTTTTCAGACGGATGAGGCAGTCCTGGCTAAAACAGAACAGCCACCTAGAACTGCTTCAGAAATTGTCGGTCTCTTTTGCCATCGGTCCAAGCGACAGTGTAAGAGTTCCAATTTGTCCCCACTGTCGTTTTCCTGCTTATTTACAATGCATTAAAAGAAAAAACAACTTTGAAAATGTGTACAGTAGAATGGGAAGTCTCTGTCTGTCTGTCTCACTCTCTCTCTCTCTCTCTCTGTTTCTCTTTTTGTCTCACTCACTCTCTCTTTGTCTCTCTCTCTCTGTGTCTGACTGTCTCCGTCTCTTTCTGTCTCTCTGTCTTCCTGTCTCTGTCTCTTTCTGTCTCTGTGTCTCTCTCTCTCTCTGTGTCTCCATTTTTCTCTGTGTGTTTGTCTCTCTTTTTGTCTCACTCTCTGTCTCTCTCTCTGTGTCTCCCTGTCTCTGTATTTCTGTCTGTCTGTCTCTCTCTCTTTTGAGATGTTGAATGATTGCGCGTGAACAAACCAGCATGGAGGATGGTCTCCTAATAGGACAGAGATACTCCTTTCCAGTTTGCAACACACCGACGAGTAAATTCTCCTTTGGTTGGCTTCTGCTGTTCACTTTTCTTTGCCTAAGTCCCATTTTTTATAACTTTGTGGACTGGAATAATGTTTCGGTGAGAAGCTCCACCAAGAATTCCTACCGCAGTTCCTGCAGTGTTGAACAACAGGACTTGCTGGACTGCTGTTGTAACATTCAGAGTAACAGAGTCGGAAGGGACCTTGTAGATCATCTAGTCCAACCCCGAGCCCAAGCAGGAGACCCTACACCATTTCTGACAAATGGCAGTCCAATCTCTTCTTGAAAGTCTCAAGCGATGGCGCTCCCACAACTTCCGAGGGCAACTTCTGTTCCATGGGTTGATGGTTCTCCCTGTCAGAAAATTTCTTCTCCTTATTTCCAGGTTGAATCTCTCCTTGGTCAGTTTCCATCCATTGTTCCTTGTCTGGCCTTCAGGGGCCTTGGAGAATAGCTTGACCCCCTTCCTCCTCTCTGGGGCAGCCCCTCAAATATTGGATCACTGCTCTCCTGTCTCCCCTGGTCCTTCTCTTCCCTAGACTAGCCAGGCCCAGTTCCTGTAACATCCAAAGAGATGTAGGTAAGAAAAAAGATCTTGTTTTAAGGGAGGGAGGGATCTGTGTATCTCCAAGCTGAGTGGTGTTTCAAGTCCATTAATTGATCATTAAGTGCCTAAATTGTTCCAAGCCTCTCCCACTAAATCACTTTTGTCCGTGTTTTTATTCCCACTGGATATTCCTCATGCTTACTGTGCTGGAAAGAAAAACAGTGACTGAAATATGATGTCTCACTTCAGAAAACATATTAAGTAGGTGGATTTTCTGACTTGGCTGATTAAAGTCTGCTTCCTTTCCTGGTTTTTTGCTTGTCTTAAGAAGTCTTGCTGTGTGTCTGAAACTTCCTATCCCATCCGGCTACAAAGGGATTGATTGTCCAACGTCGTAAAAACAATCCAAGCCCTATTTGCATTTTGATGCGGACAGTTGAAGGACGTTCTTTGTTTCCGGGGGGGGGGGGGGGGAATTTTAGAGAGAGAGAATCCTTGAAAAGGGAGACTAGGATCTACGTTCCATTTCACATTATCCGCCACTGGGGATCTCAGCACGAGCCCCCCTCCCCAATTCAAGGGTTAAGGAGGGATGGACTTTCCGTGCGTTTCCGTCTGTTGGAACAGGCCTAGGCAAACCACCTCTGAAAGGAGAAGAAGGCTTAAGCTGTGCGGGACCGATCAATGCAGGAGGTGAACATCTCTTTATATACAATTATCCAGTAAGGAAAAACGGGCTTTCCAGGTTGGTATCGCTTCGCTGGCTTCTGCCTTGCAGCCACTGGAGGAAAAGGCCTCGCCATGCAAACTGTTGTAGTTCGCCAGCAGCTGGCGCGGATGGCAGAGGAATCGGACAGTGAGGATGAAAGAGGACCAGTCAGGGAGTCTGGGGAGGACTCGGACGAGGGTCCTGAGTCCGATGCAGGGATGGGTCCAGGACCATCTGGTAGTTGGGGGCTGACTCTGGAGCCTCTGGCGTCTGGCGGCAGTGAAGCAGAGGAACGAGGGGAGCCTGTTCCCAGGGCTGCTAGAAGGAAAGAGCAGCTGAAGTAGCAGAGGGAGACTCGGGAGTAAGGCTGGGAGGTGATTGCCGCTCCCATCAGGGATAAAAGCCAGCCCTCGGGGATGTGCTCTTTGCAGGAAGCAAAGAAGTTCATTAGATTCTGATTCTTCATCGCAGCCCTGGGACTCTGATTTGTCTTTGCTAGAACTACTTTTGGTTTATCTTCTAATTAAGCAGACGTCTGTTTCTTGGCAGCCTTTCACAACCCTGAATTGTCTTATCTCAGACAATTGTGTTTCATGAGTTTTTGGCTGGGTATGCAAATAATTCCCAGCGTTGCATTAAAAAAAGGTTTGATTTTACACACGGCGTGTTTTTTTCTTAATTTGAACAAAGCCTGGGTCAGAACACAAAACATCCAGTTCTCCGGTTTTTCTTGGAGTCGATGCGATCATCGCCCAAGGTCGTGCACTACGATGGAGGCTGCAGAATCTCTCTGGAAACTCAAGTGCTCAAGGCCTTTCCTGGAAGGAGACGCCTTCGTTTGCAAAACTCAGTGGTGGGATGGAGTCTCTCGTCTTGCCTTTGCCTTCAGGGATGGAGAAACAGCGGGTGGCTTCTTCTGATGGTCCGAAGATGAGATGTTTGACGAGATCGGAGGGCCAGGAAAGGAACGTGTGGCGGTTGGGTGTTTTCTTATCAGGGGGAGGGTTGTCTTCAGCCGCGTCCGTCCGTCTCTCCATCCTTATTCATGACATGCTAGAAAAAGTTGGAGGGAGAGGGAGAAAGTTACACGGAGTTAATCCTTGAAACCCGCCAGCTGTCAGCGTTCCAATGAAACTCCCCATTTCCATTCAGCACTCAGAAACAAAGCATTAGGGTTCCAGCGATTGCCCTAATTGAATCATGCACCTCAAGCCAAGCTTCAAAAGCTTTCTCTCCTCCCTCCCCTGCTTATGGCAACTCAAAAACAAGCATAGGAATGCTTTACGAGTTGACACCAAGTCCATCCAAGTAAGAATTTATTAAAGAAGTCACATTGGCACATCTGGGGAAGCCCAAATCTGACAGTTCTGGGTTGTCCCTTCCCCAAGAGAAATTCAAAGATCCATCCCCTGCACTAGTGGTGGTGTGTTTCAAAAAAAAAAAAATCCTACCGGTTAGGAGGTTGCTGTTTTTTTTAGCTGTGCTGTTTTTTTAGCTCAGCTGAGCCACGGCGATCTGTTCTGCTGCGCAAATCAGCTAAGCTAATAAACAGCAGAATATAGGAAAGGTGAGAGGTCAGAGCAGGGGGCGGGTGGGCAGGGTTAGTCAAAATTAATCCCTACCAGTTCTCCAAACCAGTCAAAATGTTCTGGTCAAAACTGGCTGAATACCACCACTGCCCTGCACCCACCATCCCCATCACATGGCCCAATCAACAATTGTCCCAACTGGAGACATTCCTCCAGACCAGTGGTGGCTAACCTTTTTGGGCTCCTGTGCCAAAAATTGTATGCGCGCTTGCATGCTCGTGTGCCAGCACCCAGAAGGCAATGCATCCCACCCCCACGTCCCCTACGCATGCGCACACAATCCCCACCCCTGCCCGCCCCCTTACCTGCACTGCACCTCACAGCTGATTTTTGGCCAGTTTGAGGCCTTTTTCGGCCTCCCAAAGGTTTGAGGAAGGCTTCTGCAGGCTTCTACAAGCTTTGTGGGCCGAAATCCAGCCCCGTTTCGTCACCTGTTTTTCTGAAAATACCAGAAGTGACGAAACCGGGCTAGATTTTGGCCTACAAAGCTTGTAGAAGCCTGCAGAAGCCTTCCTCAAGCCTTTGGGAGGCCGAAAAAGGCCTCAAACTGGCCGAAAATCAGCCGTGAGGCACGCACATGCGCAGTGAGGTATGTCTGCCTGCAGCTCGCGTGCCAGCACAAATGGCTCTGCATGCCACTGTAGCACGCATGCCATAGGTTCACCATCACAGCTCCAGACACTCGTCTCCAGGTGCAGGGAAGCATTTATACTCCTTGCAAACAGCTGGTCATTTGCATCCTGTGAGAGAGTCATTGAGGCCACTTGGAGGTTTATCTGTGAGGATCACCTTGGAACTGCGGAAAGGACCCTGTTGTAGACCGGAGACAGATGACGTCCTTAGCGGTTCCAAGAAGGCTCCACCCCCATTTGCACCACTCAGGTGACCCCGAGGACACAGGGAAACCTCCAAGTGGCCTCAATGACTCTCTGAAAGGATACAAATGACCAGCTTGGTCTGCAAGGAGTATAAATCCTTCTATTCCCCAGCATCTGGCCAAGAGCTGAAGAAGCTTCTTACAGGAGAAGTGAAACATCTTCAAAGCAAAACAAGGAAGTCCAGTTGCCTCTTGAAAAAAAAGCACCTTGGGGATTTAGGCACAGGAAACCAAACAATATCTTCAACAGGAAGATATTAACTTTGCAGTAAAGACAAGAGGTGACTGGCTGCTGCCGGTTTGCACCGGTTGAAGCAACCCGGTAGTTAAGATTCTGCGTAGTTTGGCGAACCGGCAAATCCCACCCCGGCTGGCCCCAGCTCATTTTTCAGGCTGTTTTGGGGGCCAAAACAGGGGTGAAAATGACCCCAAAATGGCTGAAAAACAGGCCAAAAAATTGGGCAGGGGCGGGTCCAGCCAATGGTGGGATTAGCCCCAACCGGCTGAATCCTACCTCTGCCTTTGAGGCAATTGGCTGGGAGGCGGGGCTGGGTGCGATGAGTGACGTCACCCACCCAGTCACATGACCAACCAGCCATGCCTACCCAGCCAGAGAACCGGTGGTTAAGTTATTCAAATCCCACCCTTGAGCAAAGCTAGATCTTTGATATTTTATTTTGCAAGTCAGGCAAAAGCTGCCTTGAGGTCCTACCGCAGATTAACCAACCAAAGGCATTCTTGGTCATTAGCCTAGGGTACAAGATTGTAAACGTTGAAAAGCAACAACGATACTCAAACTTAAGAGGTGGTTTAATTAAAAACAGCAAAACACAAAAATTAAAACTGATGGCGTTATTTTTTTTTAAAAAAAGCAATAAAAATCCATTAAAAAGAGGTGAATTTTAATTAAAAACAAATTCCAAACCTTGTTTCCTGATCTTCTGAAGGAAGGGCAGTCCTGTTTGGGAAATTAGACAAAGTATTGATAGATGTTATGAAATGCATTTATTTTATTTTTTTTAAAATACCACAATCACCAAGGGCTGCCCCAGATATTTTGAGCCCTCTAGAAAAGAAATTAATTGCCTCACACATAGACCTCCTTTGAAATGGCAAGTTATTTGGACACGAGGCTGAAAACAGTTTATATAATTACATAAAATAATATAGAGAATACATAAGAATTGGTAGTTGGTGGTGGCCTTGTTGACGGAACTACAGAGTTAGCCTTCAGAAAGAAAATGCAAGTGTATTTCCCACAGAGAAGTCAACTCCTGAATCTCGCAAAGGGAACACTCTTTAGTTGCGTTGTGAAATCCACAAAAGATGTTGCTTGATTCAAAACAGAAGGATGGGGAAAATCCAGATTTTGAATTAAGCGCAAGGGGACATTAGCTGTGGGGTCTCTGAGGATCCCTGAGCTGGGTGGTTTTCTTGCAGACATTTCATGACCAAGCTAGGTGACATCAACGTGCACTAATGATGTTACCTAATAGGTTTACATTCTGGGTGGACTTCAATTCCCAGAATTCCCCACCAGCACTAGAAGACCTCCAAGAACCCTTCCAACTGTGCTATGCTATGCTATGCTATGCTGTTGTCTATTCTATTCTATTCTATTCTATTCTATTCTATTCTATTCTATTCTATTCTATTCTGTAATTCTATTCCATTCCATTCCTTATTCTATCCTATCCTATCCTATTCCTTATTCTATTCCATTCTATTCTATTCTGTAATTCTATTCCATTCCATTCCTTATTCTATTCTATTCTATTCTATTCTATTCCCTATTCTATTCCCTATTCTATTTTACTCTATTCCATTCCATTCCATTCCTTATTCTATTCTGTAATTCTATTCCATTCCATTCCTTATTCTATCCTATCCTATCGTATTCCTTATTCTATTCTATTCCATTCCATTCCATTTTATTCCTTATTCTATTCTATTCTATTCTATTCTATTCTATTCTATTCTATTCTATTCCTTATACTATTCTATTCCATTCCATTCCATTCCATTCTATTCCATTCCATTCCAAAGTGACAATAAAGTTATTCTATTCTATTCTATTCTATTCTATTCTATTCTATTCTATTCTATTCTATTCTATTCTATTCCATCCCATCCCATCCCATCCCATCCCATCCCATCCCATTCCTTATTCTATTCTTATTGTATTCTGTAATTCTATTCCATTCCATTCCTTATCCTATCCTATCCTATCCTATCTGCAAACAGCCTCTGGGAGTGGAAAAGGGATTCCTGCCTCCCTCAAATTTCCCAGCTCTCCCGCAACCCTCCCTGGCATGAGGAAACAGGATGGCGTTGGCCAAAAGGAATCGGGGAAGCTCACCTGTCTCTCTCGGCCACGTCCTGTTTCACTCCTTCTGCCCTGGAAGGAAAGGAGGCCATGGGCAGATGAAACGACCCCTTCCCAAATGGCCCCCGCTCCCACGAATCCAGGGGACACCCCCTCTTTCCCCCCCCCCATCCTGCCTCACCCGAAGGAGACATACCGCTCTTTCCTGGCCTGGTTTCGCTCCTCTTCGAACCTACAACCAAAGGCAGGGAGAAGGTTAGGGGTTCTGTCAGAGTTTGCAGGGATCCAGCCAGAGCACAAGTAAATAATTACTTCCTTTATGGAAGTAACTTCTTTGGGTACAGTAATATAAAGCATGATGCATGTATACAATACCCATGCAGCTCCTGCAATGTGGTAGCAAGGATAAGAAACAGAAGCACAGAACAACTAGAACCCAGAAGGCGGAATCTATAATCCGAGGACAAACTAACTCTTATATACAGACCTCTACTCACTCTTAAATCCACTCCCCTACTTACAATAGTATTCCCAATTGCTTCCAGGCTTCAAATTTGGGGCCTGGACAATCTGGAACTGTACCACCTGCGGTCCATTCTGAGACACAAAATTGTTCTGCTATAACATCTTGCCTATTGATGACTTCTTCAGGTTCAATCACAATAATACACAGGCAAACAACCGATACAAACTCCGTGTAAACCGCTTTAAACTCGATTGCAGAAAATATGACTTCGGCCACAGAGCGGTCAATGCCTGGAACGCCCCACCCGATTCAACTGTTACAGCCTCAACCCCTCCGAGCTTCAACCTCAAACTGTCTACTGTGGACCTCACCCCATTCCCAAGAGGTCCTTAAAGGCGGCGTGCATAAATGCACCAGCGTGCCTACCATCCCTGTCTTACTGTCTCCATTTATCTGTATTTACTCCCTTGTTCTTGTTTGTTTTCATACGTATACTTGCTCTCTTGTACATGTCTGACAAACCAATAAAAATAATAATAATAAAATAGACCAGTTAAGCTTAAACCATGACCATACTCTGAGCCTTCTCCCATGGCTCACAACATATCCTGTTTTTTAGTCACCAAACAGTTCCCATTAGCTGGCTTATGCACTTACAGGTTCCCTGCTGGGTATGGGAAAAACCAGCTTTCCGATAAACGAGCGCGTTTACTGCGGGGTCACCAACCTTTTGGACCTCAGGGACCACCAAGGTCATAATTTTAAATCCCACGGACCACGAATATGAATTTTGACTGACGGGGGCTTGCTGACGTCAGAGGGAAAGTCGGTCCCGTGTTCCAGAGCTGCAGGCATCACAGGACTGGCCCTTTGGTCACCCCGGAGCAGCTACTACACCTGGGTGCACTGGCCTGGAGGAGCTGCTCCAGGATTGACCAAAGGGCCAATCCGGCGACTACTGCAGCTCCGAAATATGGGACCGACTTTCCCATCGACGTCAGCAAGCCATCCTGGGGAGGATTTCCCTTCCTTGTCGCTCCAGCTTGTGTGGTTCTACTCAAGGTAAGGTTTGCACTTGGCCGAAGGGTGGGGGCCAACGGGTGGGCAGGCCATGTGGGCAGCGCAGCCTTGTGTTCCCACGCAGCCTAGATTAATTGCTTTGGGGGGGGGGACATTTCTCTGCAGACCACCCAAAATTTCTCACGGACCACCAGTGGGTTAGGGTTAACTCAAGTCAATCAATCAATCAATCAATCAATCAAATAAACGTTTATTGCCAATGCACAACATGTGTACAATGAAACTGGAAACACCCTGGAACCACTCCAATGAAGAAGGGCAGCCTTTCTTATTTTAATTACTGTAGGTAATTCTTTCACAGGGGCAAGAATGGCACGGTGGCCTAGAGATGGAGCTATCACCTCACAATCAAGAGGCTGTGAGTTCAATCCTAGGCAGAGGCAGATATTTCTCTCTCTGGACCCACTGAGAATATATCTGCTGAATAAAACTCCGCATTGGCAACAGGAAGGGCAGCCAGTAAACTAGCTAGCTCCATTCAGTTGCCTAGACTCCACCCCGCAAGGGATTATGGGGCCATTAAATGATGAAGACGATGTAATTATTTCACAGTGTTGTGGTTCTGAGGGCCTCAAAATTACAACAACACTTACTGCAGGATGCAATCTGGAATCTGGACGTGCTCCATGGGAATCGTATGAGCTAGTTCCTCCAAGGTGTGAACATACTGGATTTTGCTGATGAATTTCACACTGGAAAGAGAAAAGAGAGGCTTAGCTTTAGCTTCTTTCTACAGGAAGTGCCTGAACTCGCAACCCCTCGTTGAACAACAGTTCGAAGTTGCAACGGCCTTGGAAAACATGACCTAAGGTTCATCCTCAAGAGTTACAACGGTCACACGACCCCGGAACTCACCGGATCGCAATCTGAGCACTTGGACCCTAGCTTGTGTTTACAAGGGTTGCGGGGGTCTTATAGATACGCAATCGCCATTTGTGATAGGAATTTGTGGCGGGAATTGGGTAGAATGGCGCTGGAAGGGACCTTGGAGGTTGTCATGCCCCTGGTGGAGACTGACTCTGAAGGGGAGGGGGAACAGTCAACAGGGAGTGGAGGTCTGGCTCCGGTGGTCGTGGAGGAGGCTGGGGAAGGGCAGAGGCTGGCTGGGCAGTCGGAGGAAGACCCAGGCCCATCCCCTATCCATCCTAGGGCATGCAGGGAGTAGTGGATAAGGGAGAGACGTGGTCTACCAGGAGGAGAGGGCCCTGATCCCCTTCATGGGCTGCAGCTGTGACAACTGAATAAGAGGACGGACATGCGTATGGGAGAGTGCTGGAAACAAAGCATGGAAATATCTCTAGTTTATAGTTCCTCTCTTGAGGAAGTCCTTCCCAGTGCGTCCTTCCCAGTGTGTGTTATCTGTGGACATCCTCCAGCCCTTATCTCGCCTGGTTTGTGTTGCTTTTTTTCCTTCTTCTTGTAACTGTTTGTGTGGGAGTTTTTCTGGTTTCCGTCAAGAATATTCGGAGCTTGGAAGCAAAGTGAAGGAATAAAAGGGGCTTCACCTGTTTTCTGTGACTGTGTTTGTTTTGTATCCCACCCTGGGTCATCACAGAGGTCTTCTAGTCCAGCCCCCTGCTCAAGCAGGAGAATATATCCCATCTCAGATAAGTGGCTATCCAGTCTCTTCTTAAAAACCTCCTACTGGTTAACTGTCCACCCTGTTAAGAAGTTTCTCCTTAATTCCACGTTGCTCCTGTCCTCGATTAGTTTCCACCCATTGTTTCTTGTCCTGCCTTCTGGTGCTTTGGAGAATTAATTGACCCCTCCTCTTCTTTGGGGCAGCCCCTCAAATAGTTTAGTTTACTTTATTGTCATTGCACCTCGGACAACGAAATCAAACACCCTCTTCAGTGCACATCACGACCATGAAAATGAACACAAACACACATCCTTCACCCTTCACACATTGAACCGGAAACCTCCGACACCACACCAACACTGCACTATACAGCAGAATTCAACAGAGCTCCTGCCCTGGGATAGAAGCTGTTTTTCAGCCTATTTGTCCTTGTTTTTATTATTATCCCGTACCGTCTGCCCGATGGTCATAGTTCAAAAAAAGGGTTCTCAGGACGAGATGGATCTTTGAGGGTGTTTTGAGCTATCTTAAGGCAGCGGGAGCTATAAAGCTCAACTAGAATATTGCTATCATCTCACCCCTAAATCCTCTTCTCTCTAGACTAGCCAAACCCAAATCCTGCAGCTGTTCTTTGTATATTTTAGTCTCCAGACCTTCAGTCCTCTTAGTTGCTCTTCTCTGTACTTTTTCCAAACATTTTTGTAACATGGTGACCAAAATCGGTTGCAATATTCCAGGTGTGGCCTTAACTAGGGTTTGGAGTAGAGCGGGGGTGGGAGGTAACATGACAGCAGTCTTCCAACTCCGCCTTGGCGACAGGAAGGGCATCCAGCCAGTAATCACTCAGCTCCATTTAGTTGCCCAGACTCCACCCCGCAAAGGATTGTGTGGGGCCGTTCAAAGAGGATGAAGACGCTCGGTTTCCCTCCAGCTTTTTCATTCCTTTACCTGATGAACGGCCGGGATATTGCCAGCACCGTCCGAATGAACCAGGAAGGGTGAACAATTATTAGCGCTTTCAGGTTTTTCCGTAACCTGCAAAAAAAAAAAAATGGAGGCGATGCAGTTTGGAGGGTGGGGAATAAAAAACTAGGTTACACCTCAGTCAGATAACAATCCTGCGCCACTATGAATCTTAAAAGAGAGCCAGGTTGGTTAAGGCACCGAGCTATAAAATGTTATTAAATTCAATTTTCACGTGGCCCAGATTTTCCCCCTTTTTTCTGTTGTTATTTTTTCCATTATTATTTTTTTTTAAACCACTTGGAAGGGTATTTGCTGTTGTTTTTTCTCCTTTTCATTGTGTATGTATTTCTGTCAGGATGATCTTGGTGCTCTGTTTGTTTTTGTTCCTGTTATTTTTAAAAGCTATAAAAATACATCGATCATGGTTGATTAGGGGGTCCTGAAGTCATTTTTTTCACTCCCAGTGCAGCATAATTCTCCTTTCCATGCTGGATACACACAGAGGACTATATATAATTGGGTCTTTGGGCCATACATTTGACAGATACTGGATGGATGGATGGATGGATGGATGGATGGATGGATGGATGGACGGACAGACAGACAGACAGACAGATACGAGATAATGAGAAAGAGATGAGATAGATGGCATTGAAGATACTGATGAATAGATAGATAGATAGATAGATAGATAGATAGATAGATAGATAGATAGATAGATAGATAGATAGATAGATAGATAGATAGAT